AGGAACCGGGCTCCACTAACGCCCGTCCCATGCCCTACCAGATCGTCACAGCCTTATCAATGCCTTGGCACACCCTGCTTGACTTTTGACAACTGTAAACGTAGGTGTTACTGACAAGTGCAAACGTATGATTAACTGATTTATTGGTATTTTGCTGTACATGCTATAGCGCTTAATAGATCGCAGTATCCACTGCTCCCCCTGTCGTTCCAGGCTTGCGCCATTCCACCTAAATCAAAGAGCCTGACCTTATGGCCGGCGGGTATCCATCCCTCATACAAACACCAAAGATTTTTTAAGTTCCAATTGCGCCATTCCATGCCAATGCTGTGTGGGGTTTCCACTGTCCTCAATCCATGCCACCAATGCGCCGTTCAATGTGGGGGTATATACGTGCTATCAACGTTCGAAATATAAACAGAAACATGCGAGAGAAGATGGTGCGCTGACAAGCTACCTGTTGTGATCTGTCCGAGTGTGGTTTTCGGGCCTGCTAAAGTCGATGGTTGAAGTCGACTCGTCTTGTGGCAACGGTGAACTCGGTGCAGATGGCGGTTGTCGCATCTCAGTCCCAAGACCACCAGTGTTGTGTTGGCGACCAAGCGGGGCTGCCGGCGAGAACCGGATACGGGGAGTGCGTGTGGAGTTTGGCGAGGCCGACAGGTTGACGACCTCGCTTGAATTAGTCCCTCCATGAGATTGACCTTGTTCGCTCGGAGTTGGCGCACTCGCTTGCTGCGTACCCGCACTGGCAGAGGACTCGTCCTGTTGCGCTTGTTGCTGTTGGCGGATAATGTCCGGAGACCAGGTTTGGCCCCGAGGTTGGGCAGGAATGATTGTAACTGGTAGAGTCGTTTCGTGCTGTGACCCAGGCTTCTTCTTCGACCTGAGCTTTTCGCCTTGCTGTGCGGCAAAGGTACCCAGGCGATCGGCTAGAGCTAGCCCGTTGTAGTTGCGAGGGGGTATGTTGGCTGCGACGTCGTCTACCGCGAGTGGTTCGATGACCTGCCCTCTCTGGAGTTCCTTTGGCGGGGTCCGTCCTTTTCGTCGGAATGGGTTTCCTAAAGCTTGCCATTGGAATCTACTCCGGCTGGTGACAGGTTCCAGTTCTCCTCCCTTTTCAGGATCCTCAGGATCAGCTGGTTGAGCCTGAGGTTCCTGTGACGAGTCTTGTGTTTGTGGTTGTGCTTCACGATTTCCTGGTCGATCGTCTGCCGGTGCGTGCCGGGGATTCACAGGTGTATCGCTGATGGGATGATAGCGGACTGTGTATACAGTCGAGTCAGCACTGGTGGTGTCTGTCCTGCTGACCGGTGATGCGATGACTGGTACCGGAGGCGGGGTCTGCACTCGTACATAGGCCCGCGAGTTGCGGTCTCCACGTGCAGCAGATGCGGACCTTCGCACAACCGGGGGTGGTGCAGGGATGTGGATGGTGCGCTTCTTTCGTGCTTCTGCTCGTGGCGATTCGGTCATCTTGCGTCCAAACCTCTGAGCAAGGTCGTTGAAGCGACCGGCATGTGCTGATGTGAACGCGCCGAAGCCGCCTGAGCTTCCCCCACTCTTCTTCTCATCTTTTTCTGATAGCTGGCCCTTGCGTTTCGAAGGCCATTTGGAGTCGGACGGGGTGTTGTCGAGCATATCGTCTCCATCGTATATCTCTCTCCCCAAAATTCCGTCTTTTCTCTCTTCTCTTTCCAGCGCTTCAATGCGCTCCACCCACTCCCAAACGATGACACTGGCAGCGGCAGCCCCTACCCAGCGAAAGTAGTCTCCCCATCCGGCAATGGTATAGTTGGCGATATCGGTGATGAAAAATACGACGGGTGTGAGAATGGCGATGATGGATAGCAGAGCAACGACGCTCATGTTCCACATCATGGAGTGGTAGAAGGCGTATCGTCTCTTGGTGATGGCGTAGTACATAACCCAGGCGGCGTAGAGCATGCTAAGTGATAGTTGGAATAGGTAGCTAAGGGCGGGGATCGCGGTATCGAAATGTGCGGGGCGGCGTTGGTTCTCATAGGGACCGAAGCTGTTTAGACAGCTGAATGCAATGTCGAGCAGGATGAGAGCGAATCCGACCCATTTGATAATGACCTTCTCTTTGTGGCGCGGGAAAAGGCGTATCAAAGTCTGTACTTGTGCGAGCCAGAGGAAGATGTCGGAAACAACGCGCGAAACCTTGATTTCCATGCCAGCTACGACCTGGTCACGCAGCTCCATGGCGTCGATGAAGCCCTCCTCGTACTGGCGTTCGGCGATCTTAAACGTGTCGGCGGTGGCGAGCGTCAGCGAAATGGCGACGGTCAGGGCCGCGGCCTTCTGCAGCCATGGACGGCTTCCGACTCCAATGATCGATCCGCTCCCTGTTGCGCCGCTGATCATGCCGCGTCGTCCCATGAGCCCTGAGCGTCCCGAAGCGTTGCCGACGAAGAAGGTGCGTGGTGTGATGATGAGCATGATGACGAGCATCCAGGCGATGACGGTCGCGGCGCCTGTCGCGTAGGCCTGGGGCGTGATGGAGGCGTGGAAGGGGTCGCGCATGTCGGCGACGCTGGTGATGCCCCCCGTGCCGTCGTCGATGTTGCCCTGCTGGGTGGCCGTGTTGGTGCAGAGCGGGCGGAAGACGGCATTCTGGTCGAGCGTGATGGTGTTGCCGGGCGAAATTTCGATGGTACCGTGGGCAGGCAGCTTGTACGAGGGACAGTGCTGGTAGCGGTCGTCAGTCGCGTGCGTGGAGGGCGTCGCGGTCGTGATACTCACGTAGGGTCGGGTGGCATCGGGCGCGCGACGGTCCAGGAGAGGCGCTCCATGCCGCCAGGACTCGGCCTCCCACATGCTCGGTCGGCGGTTATACTGGTCCAGCAGCAGTTCGTGTCCGGTAGAAGAAGCCCATGGAGATTCAGACGAGCGACATGGCCTGTGTGTGGTGTTGAGGTCGAGGGTCGCCGTCGTGGGTTAAGCGTCAAGGCCAAGTGGGAGGTGTCTGGGCGAAGCTTGAGGGAATGCAGGCGGTCCCGGTGGCACCTGCCGTTCCAGACTGCCACTGCCCGCCGCTGATTGGCGCGTCTTTCGGCCCTTCCAAACAGAAAGTCAGAAACTACCACCAGCCGCGGAGCCCCCAGTCACTCCGCAGCCCGAAACGTCGCAGACTGAAGCCAGCAGAGTGGGCCGCGTGTGCAACTCCAAACTGCTTCACGCGCGCTCTGGGCTTTTCTCGCCCGTATCAATCGCGAACACTGTGCAGCCTCCTCAGGGTGAGTCTCGTCCGCGCATGAACCAATCTCGTCGGCGCAGGGTGGCAGGCGCGCAGCCTCGGATCATATCGGGGAGACATGGGGGACCCTCTTTTCGCGACTGGGGAAGCTGGATGCCTTCCCCAGCACTGACAGCAAAATCTAACCACCCTGCCGCTACTGCACCGCCAAATCAATACGTTCATGCGATGCTGAACAGGTAGAGAATATGGTTTGCCCGTTCCCTGCTCACGCTTCAAACGACAGCTCGGGGCTAAGATTCACTACTGCTACTGCGTCTATCCCAGCCCAGGCCTGAGGCTCACAGATGGCGTGATCTCGGTGACAGCTGCACCATGACTGAAGCCCAGTCCGCACAACAACATCGATATTCTTAGTTCAACGTCGACTTCATCCCAAAACCGGATTCTGCGTCCTCGTAATGCACCAGCGAACACATCATCACGAGTGGTCTGTATACCAGCCGTTGTAGCCGGGCATCGTCCGAAAAACACTTCGAGTCGACCACGTGCATGCGCTTCGCTTAATTGAAGAGAGCGCATTCAGTCATTCGACATACGAATCGAGCTGTCTCGATCTGTTCAACCTTGGAGAACACCAACCTCAAGAGGCAATCGGGACAAGCTGCTTCGTGCGGGCGAACATCCGGGAAAGCTTGAACACGCCCACGTTCTGGCCATGCGCGTCTAGAACCACCAACACAGTTCAGCCTGGTCTGATGCGCTTGATCCTTCCGTGAACACCTCTGCAGCTGTTCGCCAAGGGACACTACATGCTGCCGACTTCCGATCCTGACGCTGCTCGTAGCCTGCAGTCAGTGTCGCGCGACATGACGAACCTGTGGAACGTGCTGTCAGCCGAATTCTCTTGTCAGCTCTCACCGCTTGCGATAATTTGGGACTATGTATACAGCGAACAGGTATCACCAAAACCGTCATCTCCACGTTTATCCGCTGGAGTTCGACAAATAGATACTCGCGTCTCAAATCGAGCGTAGACTTTGAACACCGCATGCAACTAATTTGTATGTCTGCGTGACATGCCGGTCCAAACTGCCCTTCCAACACGCGCGCTCTTCTATTTTACACTTCCCTTACAGTATCTTACGCTTTGCTCTCTGTATCTTGGCGCGGTGTAGCTTTTCTAATAATTAGAAATGTTCATATGTAAGTGTGGGATCTAAAACCGTCTAGGTGCACAGAGGTATCAGAATCGGCTGGCTTGGTGCCCTGGAGCTCGTTGAACGAGGGTATCGTCGCCTTTGAGGATATCAAGCGGGTTTGTAGCATTGACTTATGAGATGTCCTGTGAAAACCTGAGTACGTGAGTCCGTACGTAAAGCTTTGAACTGTTTGTCTTGCACACTCCATTACCAGATATGTATGTGAAGCAACATTCAATTCAACGAACGCGTTTTCACATAGGAGTATGTGAACCTAATTGATGTGCTAGGTATAAGTATCCCTCGACATGACTATCCTTGTGTTGCTTCTTTAGAACACGCCTTATACTATCGACAACTACATATACCTTTCCAGTTACTCATCATTTCATTCAGTATTCGCCTGGAGCGAACATCAGCATATCAACCAACCACGCTTACTGCAGTCACACACAACTGCAAAGAGACTATATCAACGTCACCTAGCTATATCACGCCTGACATCCCATCGATACCCCACTTCTTGAAATAGCATCCGTCCACGCAGGAAGTGATATCTTCAAGCTTTTTAGAACACGATGAAAGACCTAGTATTGGCACCAAAGAGCAAGATCGAAACGAACATATACCGCCAAGATCTCAAAGCTTTGGAAGCACTGCGGGCCGGAAAACCAGAACCCAATTTCAACAAGAAGAAGCGGCTTCCGCCCCCAGATGAAGGAAAGGGCCTGTATGACCCAGTGTTGGCACCAAAGAGCAAGATCGAGATGAAGAATTATCGCCAACAGGTCAAAGCCTTGGAAGCTTTGCGGGCCGGAGAACCAGAACCCAGTTTCAAGAAGAAGTGGGTTCCACCCCCAGACGATGGAAAGGGCCTACCACCTGCAGTTATAAGAAAGGGTACCGTGGAGAAGAGAAAAAATAGCTACTGGGGGAACGGCTGGGACGAGCAGATAAAAGCTGAGCGTCTTGAACACAAACAAAAGCAGGCGGAAAAGTTTCACTCGAAAAATAAGGAGAAACAGTTGAAATCTAACATGATTCAGAACAAAAGGAGGAAAAATATACTCGATGAGAGCAAAAACAGGCATCATGAAATGTTCATGCTCACCCCGCATGTGGACCATAAGGAAGTATACAAACGGAGCGAACAAGAGGAATATGATGAGGCCCGTGACCTCAAAACGTTCAAAGTACCAGCAAGGAAGACGCCATCAAAATGGGGTGCAGAGTACGACAAGATGGAGGGTCCCCTAGTTTCAAATCACACGCAGCACAGTGCGATAGCTATTCCTCCAGCCGCTGGCGCACGAGCTCGTAGATTGAGCTTCCATGACAAGACTGAGCTGGGCAAAGCAGTGCAAAAGAAACCGATCGACGACAAGAAGCACTTGGTTATTGACAAGAAGCCAGTCAACCAGCGCCCACACCGCGAGATCTCACCGGGCTCTTCGGCTCAGCCTTTGGCTCGTAGGGGTAGTTGGCACGGTCGTGTAGAAGATGATGGATCCGGGGTATTGCAACGAACCCGAGATCCCGCAAAGAAGAAGGATGACAGCGCATATTACGAACGGTTGATTCACGGATTGGCAATTGATCTTAATTATGGATCTTTCGACGAAGCTTACCTTGATATAGAGAGATCGATGAAAACTGGGGAAACGATCGATGTCAAACAGCGATCTGATGACATGTGGGCGAAGCGCTGGCGGGATTTCGAGCGAGATAGGATCAGAGAGGGCGTCGACCCCGCATATTTCAAGTCAAGTTTTTAAATAGAGGAATTCGCTAGGTAGCGTGGAGAGGAGGTGGAGTTTTGAGACGAGTAGGGTTTACGTAGAAGAGCTTCAAGAAGACGTGTACCATTGGATGTATCGCCTTATGATATGACCGACTGTGACGCGGCTGGCGCCGCCATTTCTACAATGCTTCTTTTGACGATTGACATTAATTGGACAACAGAAGAATAAGCATTTGACTCAGGTTAGGGTCTGCTCTTGGTTTGGGCCGGTCGTTGAGATGGTACCTTGGTATATAGTCGGACTCCCGAGGTCATCCATGGATGTAGTATCAAAAGAGTCTCAACACCAAGCTTTTACAACGGAAAGAAACGATAGAGTGACAGCCGGCGAAAGAAATTTGATTTGTGTAAACGTTGTTTGAAGATCTGGATTACAAATTCGGTATGTGCAGTTGCCATCTGGGCAGTTGGAGCTCGCGTAGACGCATGACGCTAGCGCACGTGCTCGCGCGCCTGCCTGAATCGCCGGGGCCTTGCAGATGCGCACTCTTTCTGCCGCCCCACCGTCATCGAAAGGAAGACGCATTGTTGCCGTCTTGGAGCACTCTCTACAAACTTTTGAATAATATAATAGTCGCGCATTCGTCCTCGGGAGTTTGCGACACTCGCACATCTACAGCGACGTTCTCGCAACGCGATTGTCCGACGCGACGGCGCTGCGCAAGATAGAATCTGGGCCGACACTTCAGTGAGAGACATCCATAGTGAAGCAGACTCCAAGACTGGACACGCCAAGATGGCACCCAAGAAGGCGCGCGATCGCAAACGGCAGACCAAAATCAACTTTTCACCTGCCTCCCAATCCTCACCCGCGACTAAATCTACTGCCGCCACGACTATGGGAACCTCGCCGTCGCGGCCGAACCTCACGGCTACGAGACCGACAAGACGAGCGCCTAGCAGAGTTTCCAACAAGAGCAACAACAACGACAAGCCTAATTCTTCGAGCGAGGACGAGTTGGTAGTGGGAACAAACAAGGCGATGCGGTTAGGGATGCCAGTCGGGGGCACAGCGCGTGGTATGTTCGATGGATCGAACAATGGCTCTGCCAGCTCAGAGACGTCGGAAGAGGAGGACGAAGTACAGGTGGAGCAACCGAAGTCGCGAAAGCGGAGACGAGCACCGACGCCTAGCGAATCTGAAGACGAGGAACCGACAGTCACAGTCATCCCGCGCAAACGACAACGCCGTGTTATCGAGATCGGATCCGATACATCGGAGAAACCGAAGAGCAAGAAGAAGGAAGAGAAAAGGAAGACTAAGTCTTCGAAGGCCAGCAAACAGCGAGAGAGGAAGGAGAGTACACCAGAGGAGGAAGAGTTGCGGCCTGCGACTCGCAGCAGCCGAAGAAAGACTGCAGAGAAGGCCCCGACACCAGACGAAGACGAGGATGAGGACGAACCTCTTACCCCAGCACCGAGCTTGAGGCGGAAGATCGTCCGCAGACGTTCCCCATCCGCTGAAGAAGAGGAGCAGAGCCCACCTCGAAGCACGAGGCGCAGACTGAAAAGACGAAAGTCACCAGAAGACGAGGAAGAGCCGCCAGCCACGCCTCAACTTGTAAATCTTGGGGATTCTGCGTCAGACGATGAAGATCAGGAAGAGGGCGAGGGAAGTGCAAACAACGACGAGGACGACGAGGAGCAAGACGAACTGAAAGAAGAACTTGCGTTTCTGCGATCCTCTCCATTACCGGATCGCGGCAGACTGAGAAGCACTCAAGGCAAGCCCAAAAACAAACGCCAGGAAGCTCTAGAGGCATTGAAAAGGCGACGCGCTGGTACCAATGAACCGCCCTCTTCTGCGACACCTGGGCGCAAAAGAGCGGTTGTGGTGGAAACAGACTCCGAGTCTGAACTCGAAGTTATCAAGGAAGAGCCAGACAGTGATCTTGAGATCTTGGAACAGGATGACATCGAAGACGACGAGCAAGAGTCAGACCGCGATGCCAACGCCCTTGACATGTTCCAGGAAGACCAAGAAGATGAGCACTTCATCGACGACGATCCGGATAATGTGATCGGAGAACCGTCTGTCAATGACGATCTCGACGAAATGCGTCTGGCGTTCAGTCTGTCGCGCGCGAAAACACGGGATCTGTTCAAGCACGCTGTCGAGTGGATGGTCATGAAGAAGATTCATCCAGCTTTCGATGCGGAAAAGAACGTCTACGTGCTGACTTTCCGCAAACTGGACGATGAGGTGAAGGGCCTCGCAGGTTCCAAGTACACATCCTCAGCCTGGACAGCAGACTTTACCAGAGCCATTCGCGCAAGACCGTTGCTCTTGATGAACGAACTCAGCGCTGCCGAAAGGGCCGTAATGTCGCCACATTGCGAAGCATGCAACCGAACCAACCACACAGCTAGCTTCGAGGTCCTCTTCCAAGGCCAGCCCTACCATCCGGAGACACTGGAACCTCTCGCCAATGCCTCAGATGACAGCGATAGCGGCAGTGACTCTGCCTTATCCGCCGACTCTGAAACCCACCTCAACGGCGAAAAGCCAACCTTCAACTACCAAGGAGACCGGATACCACCAGAGTCCCACCGCTTCCCACTCGGCTCAACATGCAAAGCTAATGCCCAAGTTGCGCATACATTGTACCACTGGCGCTACAATCTCTACCAATGGGTCAAAGACTACCTCAAGGATGAGGGACACCTGACAGCGGAGAAGTTAGTCAAGAGAGATGGACGAAGCGATCGCAAGAGGGAGAAGGAGGCACGAAAGATTGTGGATACGATGGAGGAGAATGGGCGCATCAGGCAACTCTACCACTCCTACAAGGATCAGCTTAGGGCAGCGGTGGAGGCAGACAATGACTATGCAAATGGATGGGGTAGGAGGGGTTGATGATTTGTGCATCTGTTTCGAGGGACAGGGCGGTACTAGCAGCCTGGGTTTCTTTGTTATTGACGAAGGAGCTGGCTTGTATATCAGCACATCATTTCGACCGATAATGAGCGTGGGCGTTGAAATGACGATGACGAGAAGTCCAACGTATCAATTCGTAACTTTTTGGGTATCATATGCTTCGTGACTTTTGTGTTCGAGCCTTCTTTCTTTCTCGCTCTACCTCAAAGCATCTCCTCTTCCTCCACAGGCGCCGGAACGCTCTGCGCAATCTCAACATCCACCTCCTTGCCGTCGCCCTTGACCTCACCATCTTTGACCTCAGCACCGTCCTCGGCCGCCGCCTCATCCTCGTCCATATCCTCATCACTAACCCACTCCCTTTCCTTCCTCTTCTCCTCCGCCTCCAACTGCTCAAGCGCAACTTGCTTCTTCGTCTTCTTCGTGCCATCGCCATTGACGTCCTCCCATTGCTTGGCCCTATCCTTGATCTTCTGTTCTTTGCCCACGCTCTTCATCCGCTTCTTCTCGAGCTTCTCCATATTTTCCTCCGCACGATCGAGGCCCTTTTCGTAGCGTAACCGTTGTGCGCGGGTCATGTTTGCGCCTTTCTTACGCTTCTTCTGGATGCCGGCATCTTTTGCGGCGAGGGCGTGGGGGTTTACTTTGGAGGGCCGCGAGGGCGAGGCGGAGTCGCGGGTTGTGTGGGCGGGTTTTTGGGCGGCTTTGTCGAGGTTGAGGGAGGGGGAGACGGCGCGACGGGCGGTGCGGGAGTGGATGCTCACCGCTGTGTGATTGTTAGCAGTTGTTCATGAGGATGGTGTATTCGTGGTATATACGGCGCTTCTTGACCTTGGCTGTCTTTGCCATTGTGTGTTGGTTTCTGGCTGTCGCTACAGAGTTCCAGTGGTGTGAAGGGATTGAGCAAAGACGCGCGATTGATTGTGAAAATCACGGTACGTGGTATACTTCCTAGTGAAATCTCGTGTGCACTCGCACGCCAACCTAGGAAAAAGCTGGACAGCCTGGAGGCTACGTTAACGTTAGGTCACCTACTTTGCAAGGTTTTAGTTTAATGTAGCCTGCAGACCTGTTCCAAAATCTCCAAAAGTCCCCACTAGCTCGTGAACGGGATCCACTTGAGCCGCTAGCGCGCTCCCGCACCTTCCCCGATGACCCTTCAGATGCCTCGCCCTTGGCCTAGATATTCACGCCGTTCCGCCACCACCGCCGTCGCCGTCGCCGTCGCCCCGACTGTCGCACCCAGTCTCTCGCCCATGTCGCAGACAAACACACCGCCGCGTTTGCTCTGTCTGACTATATCCATGCGCTGGCCCGAAGGTTGAAAGACCCACCATTTGCGCCTGCAACCGCTACCCATACTCCTAGTTCAACCTGGAAAAGCCTTTCGCTACCGCCGCTCCCACAGCCTGCCTGTAGCAGCCTAGCGTTTCAAATTTATTCCTACCTTGCACCCAGCTATGAGCTACGCAGAGTACCCCGAATTCGAGGCCTATCAACAACGCTGGAACACAACCCAGTCGCATACCACCATCACGTCCGCTCTGCTAGGCGCTATCATCGGCCTATACGTCCTCTTTAAAGCCTTGGACGTACTCGGATTTCCCGTCTGGGATTTTATACAGCGCTTTCTCGAGATGGCGACCGACGTCCTGCGTATGCGCAGCGCCTCCTTCAGCTCAACAACCTCCAGCACCAGCGACGACGACACCACACAACAGGGCGGCATGTTCGGTAGCCTCTTTGGCATGAGTCCGGGAAACCTACTACAAAAGGGGGTACGAGGTGTCGCAAATGCCTTCTCGCATGGCCCCAGCGACGTGCCACCAGGCCTGGGCAATATCAGCAACTCTTGTTACCAGAACAGCGTTATCCAAGGCCTCGCCTCCCTTCCATCGCTACGCGACCACCTTTCCAAGACGACCTCCGCACACCCCGCGCTTACCTCCGAGAGCACAAATGGCGCGTTATTCGACATCATCACTAAGCTCAACGACCCTGCGAACACGGGTCAGCATTTCTGGATCCGTGGCAAGTTGAAGTCGATGAGCACTTTCGAGCAGCAGGACGCGCAGGAATATTATAGCAAGATATTG